GGGGGGGGGGGGGGGGCGGGGAACGGACAAGAGACAGTGGCATTAACTCCCTGGTTTCTGGAGCCATGCTTGAAACAGCAGTTCTGGCAGCCACAGAGATTAACTCTGCTGCTGCTGCTTGGGAGTCATCTGGTCCATGGGAGGTTCTGTGGTCTGGATTTGCCCTGCAGGGTCACATGAGTTTGCACCCCTGTGTTAAATGATTGTGTATCTGTGTATAGACCTGAGCTGTTTATATTACTGACACTTATTTGGGGAACAAATCGTAATGAATATAGAGGGAAGGGGCTCAGGGCTGCTCTCATGTGAAGTGTATTCACATACTGTAAATTAGACAAGGAATTCCCAGATAAGAGCTGGTTTACACATTATGCCATACCAGAGGACACAGTGCTGTCCAGTCTAGTAAACTTGTCTGGAAATGGCCAGGAGATGGTGCTTCAGAATAAAATCAAATCATTAGTACTTGAGCTTAGTCATTTAGGTAAAGCTCCATTCTGTAGATTGTGGAGCAAGGAATTATTTTCTTAGTTTTGTACTCTATTAAGATGAAAACTGCAATGGTTTCTCTTGATGACTGATTTCTTTTCACCCTCAATTATTTTTAAATGGAAACTAAGAACTTAGTATATCTGCCTGTATTGCACTTTTTCATCTATACCTATGTTGTTCTTAGATCCATTACATTTTTAAACTAAGTACAGCATTTATAATGTAAAATGTTTTATTTATATAATTTATATGCTTCCAAGCACATAAAGTAGGACAGAACTATTTTTTTTACAAATATAATTTTTTTCATATGTGCTGATGGTATGTATGCCTTCTCATGCATGATCTGCATTATTACTACATTCAGCTTTGGAAAATGTTCAGGAAGAAACAAAATTTTCTATTTATTCAAAAACCATATTAACTTAAACTATGAATATTCAAATACTAAGCAGAATGCTTTTTCTCTTTGTCTTAATCTGCAGTTTTTCCTTTAACACTGGCATTTGCAGATCCTTGTAGAAGTTCCGAATGTGAAAACTTCAACTCCATAAAAAAGGTACAATTGCTTCATTAAGAAAATACTTATGAAATTACAATTTTGAACTGCCGTATTTACTTGAATATAAGACAAGGGTTTTTCCCCTCAATCAACATGGGGGGAAAAGCCTCTTATCTTACATTTGCATACAAGGAAATCACATAAATACATTGCCTAACTCTGAACTGTTGCTAAAAGCAGCATGTGCTCGGTAATGAAAACCAGCTATGAAGTTGATTAAGTACATCCAACATTGAGCATGATTATAAAGTACATGGCCCATATGTGGCAACTATACTGATTGGAACTATTTTTTTTTTTTTACACAAATTTTATTAAAAAACACTTAGCACCCTACTCTTACAAAGCTTCACATATTGA